AGATGTGTAAGATCGTTATTTACCTTGAAGCTTCCGTATGTTCAGCGTAAAACATATTTTGGGTGAAGCTTTCTGTGTCTGATGAAGGATTGATGAGATTTTTCGACTATTATGAGTCCAGTGAAGTGGGGAAAAACATTGTGACCTTAAAGGTGACCATCTTAGTGTTTGATTGTAAGACTTTTGGTGAGTCTAGATGGAGCTTTTTGGAAGATAGAAGGTGGAGTTTTAAGTTGTTGCTGATTGTAACCGGGAACAATTGTTTGAATTAATATAGTTTGATAATTCCTTTCAAAAAGATTTGAACCACCCGATTCCAATTTAATTTGGGGTTTTAAACATAGAAGAATCCTATTTAATTGGGGTACAATACAATTTTTTGTATGTTTTTTTATTTATTTACAATCGTTTGTTTTATCTAGATGTTAAGAGATCATCTAACATTTAAGGGGGTGTATTGAATAATGGATTGTGGTTGACTTTTTTAAATTCATGGACATTTTAAAAAGGGTTTTTTACAAGAATATTTCTAAAATAAAACTTATTTACATAAATATGACTATTCATTACTACAACGTAGTGTTGTGGTAACTTAAGTTCAAAACTTGAACATTAATTGTTATGATTTCATTACTACTCTAGTAACTAGTCATATTTTTGTAAACCATCTTTATTTTGATCATATTTATGTATTTATTTCTTTTAAAAAGTCATCCGACTTTTAAATCTGTAGACTTTTTTTGAATGAAATCTATTTACTTTTAAATCCATGGATAAATTTATAGATTTTCAAAAAGTCCGTAGACTTTTAAATCTGGACTGCCAATGCCGCTCGCCGTAATTTTCACCTACATTGATGCTATCGATCTGCATGTCCACCTCCGTCACCGGAGTTCCCTGCCGTCATGATCAGACTGATCCGCCACAAACAAAATGACTCTGGTTATGCAATGGAACTAGGGGTAACTAGTTGTATTAATTAATTAAATTAGGGGTGAAAATATAATATTTACTCCTATTTAAGTAAAATCAAACATATGATCATTCTTTGAGAAAATGCTACTCCGTATGTTTTAGTCCTACCGTGCATAACTTTCTCTGTATAACATGATAAGAAATAATTAAATAAAGGCCTTTTTTTTACTAATGTTACTAAAATATATATAAATGACAAAAAAGTGACATGAATTTAGTTTTTACAAATATATGACTTACCATATCATTTAAGCCATTATTTAATATAGCATTTATTATTTTAATATACCATCACCCCAATGACCGCAACCATCACCACTGCTACCGCCATCATCACCGTTGTCGCCTTTGCCGCCGCCGCCATCGTGGTGACACTGTCGGCAATGACTCGCCCACCCTGCCTTCTCCAATCACTCAATTGCCAAAGGCCGTTCAGTGACTATGTCGATCCTTTATCCAGTGACCGCCTAATCGGCATCCCCACACCATGCCGCCCCCATCCCATGCCACCCCTGCAGTGACCTATCGTCAGTGACTAGTCGGCACTGACCGCCAATGACTCTACCCACCAGTGACCGATGACTCCACCCACTATAGTGACCGCCGCCCCACGTCATCAACCCTAACCCCCTTCTCTAGGCCTACCTCCATTCCCCATCCCCCGCACCTTGCCGCCCCATCACACCCCTAGCTGACGCCGACCGCCGCTATCTCATTTTCCCGTCGTCATCTGTAACACTAGAGATTTAATTTAAACGGATTAATAGTACTACTCATACCAACAAGGTGCATCTCCTTTAAAGGAGCTCATCACCCAAGAACTCCAAAGTTAAGCGTGTTTGCACGTGAGTAGTCTTGGGATGGGTGACCCCCTGAGAAGTTTCTCAGGGCGCGCACGAGTGAGGACAAAGAGCTACGGAAAAGGCTCGTGGCGGTTTGTGAGGACAATATTAGAGGTCTGGAGTAACTACCTCGGGTCCTGCGGGGTCGGGGTGTTACGGGGCCGGGGTGTTACATCATTAATGCTCATTGCCGCCATATATAGCCGCTAGGTTCGTCGTTGATGCTGTTAATCTCAATCGCACACAACAGAAAGAGAAGAAAATCAGATGGGACAGGATTCATGATGGGAGAGATGACAACAAGGCATCAGTTGGTGCGTGATAATAGGGGCGGCGACGATGGCGGGGTGTGTGTGAAGTAAACAAATAAAGTAAACAAATGAAACAAATGCATGTAATTCATCTAGCAACACAGAGTTCTACAGGAATAAATGAAGCATAAGGATCCAAATTATTTTTATTAAAAAAAAACTGAAAGTTTCGAGAATGCTCAACAATCTCAGACTCTTTATGATTAATTGTTATATTACACAACTCAATGAGTAAAAACATTGATCGTTACACGAGAGTTACACTCATTGCTACATGTGGTACAACTGTACAAGCATTGGTGCAATCGAGCTTTTCTTCCTAATATCATTTTTTTCATTTTTAGCTTGTTAAATTTTGTATACTTATTTACGATTATATACTTATTAATTTAAAATTATATTTTTATGTGTTAGCGGTTTAACGATGAAACACAGTAATAGTTATTTTTCTCTTAATGGTTAACTGAAGACGTAACATAATTGCACCAATGTAATACTATCGACTCTTATATCGGTTTTTCCAAAAAGTTTTTGAACCGATTCGATATGAGATTAATGGTTCTTCAAATAGTTCATAATTTTCTTTGAAAAACTGAACCGATCTCACCCCTACATTTTTCTTTGTAAGACGACATATACAATATCACTTTTTTTAAGTTTAATGTAGAACCACAATGTTCAACTTTATTTATCGTAAAATGATAAAAATCAAATTTAAATGTTCAAATTTTTCATATTGAGACCATCCTGGTACCCATCTCTTCCGACCCCGTCAGTACTAGACTACTGAGTACAAGACTTGTTGGTCGATTTGTGATCGCGTGTAAATAATTAGCCAAATCATCTGTAACCAAATCCATGCGTATCCGTGACAAGTAAAAGACAACAAAAATCCTCAAAATTTTTTGTGAGGAGAAGAGACAATTTCATAGATTTAATGTACTAAGAATGAGTTAAAAGTACTCAAGAATCCATGATTTTAGAAGTCAATAAGAATGAAAAGAAGTTTGAATATGTCTAGACTTTTATAGTCTTTTAAAAGTCTACATTGAATACACCTAGGCTTTTGTTGGCTTTTTTTGGCAATGCTTATAACTATTATAGTACATGTTCCATGTTAAGGCCAACATTCTTGAAACGAGATGATATTCGAACCTGTGACCTCCTTCTTGAGAGTGTCACAGTGATACCATCAAACCACAAGTTACTTTAGTAGACTTTGAAAGTCTACATCGAATACACCTCAACTTTTAAAATCCATGAACTTTTAAAATTTTGCCACTAATTTTAGAATACACCCCCTGAATATCTAAGCCCGTTTGTCCTCGATATTACAAAAATGAGGCTAAAAGAAAAAATGTGACCTCTTTTTTATATTTCCAAAAGTGTGACCAAAGTGACTCCCACCTACCTATCACAGTGACTCCCGCTCACGGCCACAATGACTGCCGCTCACCGGTCAGAATGACTGCCCGACCACCACAACCACTTTTCGATCGCCGTCATATGTCCCACTGGGCTTACCATTGTCGTCGCCAGCTCCCGAACCTCCTCCATAACCCATAGTCCTCTCTAAGCCTGCCCCCTGAACTGCCCCTACCACCATCAGACCAGTGACCATGCTAGTCATAGTGATAGCCAAGAGGTAGTGAGCATTGTCGTACGATTAGTGACCACCATTGTGCGGCCGGTGACCACCTGCGGTCTGACCGCCGACCACTGTCTCCCCCTACCTTAGCACACACACAGGCTCAGTCACTCTCCCACCCCTATCACTTTTTTGTATAACCCTGGGTCATGTTCTTGGCAAATAGAACTCTATTTGGGCCATTATTTCAATATCTAGAACCTGTTTGGTAGCATGAAAACCGGTTGTTTTGGCTGATTCTGCTGAAATTTATGAAGTTCTGGCTGAAGTGGCTGCATTGGATGATTCGACTGATTTAAGAAAAATTATCTTTAAAATATATTTTATTAATAAGATAAAGAAAAAAGTAAACTCCCTTCATTCTGCAAAATAGTTTCCGGTTTCCTTTTTGGGCCGTCCCAAAAAAATAGTTCTCATTTCCCTTTTTGGAAAGTTTTGTATAGCTCATATTCATTTACCTTTTTCTTACACAACCACCACCATACATTTCCACTTTATTATCATTTTCTTAAACTCCGATCCAAGTCAATGCGGGAATTATTTTATGGGACGGAGGGAGTATGCAAACATAGCTAAAATGGTCATCTATAGTAACTTCAGCCAATACAGCCAGGAAAGTAACTCCAACTTTATTTTTCCTGCTTATTACACAATTCAGCGCGCGAAAGCAAAAATTACATTTTTGGTGAATAAGCCGAAAAATTACGTTTAGTGTTGCCAAACGGTCTCCTAATAAATACATGTGGAATATAAATGTAAACCAAATACATTGAAGTAAACATAAAATGTACTCTCTCCGTCACATAAAACTTGACTAAATTTCTTTTTTTTTTGTCGTCCCAACAAACTTTGTCATTTTCATTTAAAACAAAGAATATGTGTTTAAAATTTTGTCCCTCTTTCTTCTACACAAATTTTAACCAGACAATTTTTACTTTATTAATTTACATTAAGTCAACTTTAGTCAAATTTTATTGGTCAATATACCGAGTGAGTATTAAGTTGTACGGAGTATTTAAGTATACAACTATAATAATCCCATAAATAGATGTACGGTGTATTAAGTATCGACCGCACACCGGTTGAACCACCGGTACGTGTGTAGTTGTACTTGCAAATTGTTTCAACATTCACGCGCCAAGGAGCACGTGGTCATGAAAATTGTGCACTCTCCGTTCTCAAAATTGATAAATATCTCATCCTCGCCTTTCCCAATACTTGTGTTTTTTTTGGTAGGAATTGGCTCTTCAGCAAGCTTCTTCTTCATCACTCTAAAGGTTTCATTTTTAATCTTTACATTTAATCTGAAATATAGTTTCCTGCAGACGAAGCTACTTCGGGAACTACTTATCATCACTTGTTTATGCTTCTCTCATTGTGAGGGTTTTCATCGATTTTTTAATCATTATCAACTAAAACCTCTTTTGGGTCTATGATCGGCTCCTTTCAGTTTCAGTACCATATTTACTTTTGCTTTCCTACTTTTCTGGCACTCCCTTGCATCGCAATTTTCCTTTGACACTGAACATAAATTTGTTTGACTTTGTCTGTGATGCAACCTTGCTTGCTGTGCCAATCATATGCTTTAAGCCTGTAATCATGAAATAATTTGATTGATCTTGTTTGTGTTGTACTGTTGTTATTGTTGTCACCCCCACCCTTTTTCACAAGACCATCTTTTTTTTTTCTGAAAATGTTGTTTTCTTCTGTTCATGAACTTGGTCATGTTGCTCTATTATTGGGTTTGGAAATCAGCCCCTTTTTAGTTTTTATTTATTTATTCAAGTATCATGACGAGTTATAGTTTTAACTTAGTTTGTTTGTTGTTTATAGCTACACTTAGAACTCTGTAGTGTTATCTTCTTATGTACTGTTTAACTCCTACATCAGTTTCTTGGGCTATCTCTTTTATGGGTCTCTATTATCCTGCTTCAATATTTAAATTTTTACTTCTTTTTGCAACCATTTTATAAACCAAACGAAGTGTAACAAGATCTCTACTTTGTTTACCTCAATAAGTGAGGAACACTTGTACGACTTAAACGTGACTAAATATGGTTATTTGAAATAAATTTAGTTCTTGTGATTAAAATATTACGGAGTACTACCTTTATCCAAAGAAATTGGTATTTATAAAGCTGGTATTGAAATAAAGCTAGAACTTTATTAGTTTGGGTGAAGTATAACGCTAAAGCAACTAATCCAAACCATAATTTATTATATTTTTGGTTTTACTATTTTTTCATACTGAACTTGTTTAACTTGTTTTTTGCCAAGGAACTTGAAAAATTAGCTCCATTGGATGGAATATGACTCTTCTTTTGGGACAAAAAAATTATTTCAATACAATTTTTTTTTGGGATGGATGAAGACATGAAGTAATAGATTCTCCAAGGCTTGTCCTATGTTAGCAGAAAATTAAAGGTTTCAAACAGCTTTCAATGACCATTGCTGCTTAAGTAAAACTGTGCCATGGTCACAAGAAGTACTGAATGAGCCAATCCTCTTTCTCCACCATATGATGATTCATAGATCTTTTTTATGCAGAACTGGTCAATCATTTTCAGTTGTATCCCTAAATGGGATGGAAGTTATATGCTTTAATATGTAGGATGCTCTGTTTCATTGTGCCTGTGGACCCTATTTTTTCTCTTACATTTTTTGGGTGCACTGGAGGTTGTATTCTTGCATCAATGAATGAGCTTGATATCTTTTGCTTTATTTATGATGGTGGGTTTTTAGACATTGAGGGTTAATGCCTCCTCTTTTATGATCTTACTACAGGAAACCTTCAAACATGGCATGGAAATTTCTCTGCACCTCTTTTCTTTTGTGGGTTATTGCGTGCTCCGTGTTTCCTGTTTCTTCTGAAAAACTACTCAGAGTTGGACTGAAGAAGAGTCCCTTGGATTTCAACAGCATTAAAGCAGCGAAGTTGGGTCATAGTATTAATAACAAGCTGGGAGACTCTGATGCAGACATTGTCTCCTTGAAGAACTACTTGGATGCACAGTATTATGGAGAGATCAGCATTGGTTCTCCTCCGCAGAATTTCACTGTTATATTTGACACTGGCAGTTCTAATCTCTGGGTTCCATCATCTAAGTGCTACTTTTCTGTATGCCCCTGCTCACTTTTAATTTGTTTCCCTTTACAGACTTATGGCTGTTGTTTGTTAAGTGATGTTTCTTTTCAGATTGCTTGCTTTCTTCATCCCAAGTACAAGTCAAGCAAGTCAACTACATATACAAAGATAGGTAACTGTAATCTTTAACATGACTGTCCCAAATGATGGTTGTAAGCCACAGTTTGTGAAACTAAGTAGGCTCCCTTCAATGACATGAGTTTGAACATGATAGTATTTTTACAATCTTTCATCTGAATAATAAAGATAGATTGAGAGGTTAAAAGAAAATCTTGAGTTGAACTAACTAACATATAAAATTCAATATTTTTTATTGTGGTTTGACTTAAGTCTCTTACCACCCAGTTTAGTGACACTAACTCAGTTTTGAATTGTTTCATGGAATAGGAGAATGTTTTAGTCTACTTTGTTTGTCTTATTGTTCATCTGGAAGTCCATTCACAGCCATCCATGGGTCTTTAACCTGGTTTTCCGTCTAAAGTCCATCCCTAGACCCGTGGCCCATTTAACCCAGTGTTCTTGTGGCAGTCCATCCCCAGCGGCCTGAGGTCCTTTAAATGTTGTTGCTGAATTTTCAGTTTCAGTTTCAAGAGGAGAGAGTCGAATTGGAAGGTCACCAATCAGCTAAGTTTAAAACGGCCCGATTATCCACTGTGGGAAGAGTGTTACAGTCACACATCTAAAAATAAAGAGATTGAGGGGTTGATTAGACTTTGAGTGGAAGTAGCTACTAGCTAGCAACTGAGAAATTTCCCGTTCTATGACCGAAACATTACTTTTTATCCAAATATGAATATTAATAGTTTAATACCTATATGCCTAAATATATACCACATTCGTCCAGTTTTAAGTTTTCCATTTGAAAATGGCACACCTTTTTTAGTTTGGGTGGCTATATATAATGTGGTAATTGATGATAATGGTGCTGTTATCAGTGTACTATATTTAATTTGTGATGATAAAGTTGTCTTTTAAGAGAGTTAATTATTTCCTAAAATGGAAATGAGAATTTTTATATTAGACGTCCAAAAAGGCTAGTGAGAACCTTGAAACGGGATCAAGGGAGTGATTTTAGAAGTAAAAACATGTTGGGTTTCTCTATCTAGTACCAAATAGATACTATTTTAGGATTAAAAGTATGCTAGTCCTACTTATGGAAGTAGCTATGTTTTGGTCCCATTTTGAGTAAATCATTTGTAACCACATTGAACTCAACCTTTTAGTGGTTTGACCCAAGTGCCTTATGACCCAGTTGAGTGAGACCAAACTGATTCTGAGTTCTATCATATATGAACGGGTTACCTTTCCTCTATATGTTCAGGAACATCCTGTTCAATCACATATGGATCTGGATCTATTTCTGGATATCTCAGCCAGGACAATGTTGAAGTTGGTGGTATTGTAGTAAAAGATCAGGTGGATTTTTATTTACCTTGAGATAAGTGGCATTTATTTATCCAGACTCTTCCTTTTGACGTGTAATGCTGCCCCTTCTCGCTCCAGGTCTTTATTGAGACTACAAGGGAACCTAGCCTTACATTTGTATTGGCCAAATTTGATGGGATTCTTGGGCTTGGGTTCCAGGAAATTTCTGTTGAAGATGTTGTTCCTGTCTGGTAAAATGTTAAATGCATTTATTGAGTGGGTGGTATATGAAGCTCAATATACTTTTCTCTTTCCATCATTTGAAAAATTTGTACAAAAAGAATTTGATTCGGATTTGCAGGTACAACATGGTAGACCAAGGTCTTGTAAGTGAGCCAGTATTTTCTTTCTGGCTTAACCGTGAAGCAAATGCACAGGATGGAGGCGAACTTGTTTTTGGCGGTGTTGATCCTAAACACTTCAAGGGGAAACACACCTATGTTCCTGTCACTGAGAAGGGTTACTGGCAGGTACCTGAGTATCATTCTTGTTCCTTTACTTTTCTTATCCATAGAAGTGTTATGGGAGGTTTCATAATGTTCATTACTCTTTGTTTTTAGTTTGAATTGGGAGATTTTCTCATCGGAAACAGCTCAACAGGTGAGGAAAAACATTTTCCATTTCCTGACTTCTTTAAGTTCTCAGATATTGATTTGCTGTTCTTAGCATGTTATTCTTATCAGAATGATTTCCTATAAAAAATTTGGAGTATAGTATAAGTCATATACACAGCAAGTAATATGTTATATTAACATCCTCTGTTTTTTATTTATTTATTCTACTAAGTTTTTAAAGAGTTTAACAGTAAAATATTAAGGTTGATGAATAGTCGAACTGTAGGAGACAAAAAATGAAAAACTAGACAAAGTGAGAACGAGAAGATGAAAAAGTAAGGGGTGTTTATGTATTTTGATGTGATAGAACTTGCCAAATTATAAAAATGGAACTACTAAAAAATTCCCTAAAAGGAATACAGAGCAAATGAAAAATGGAGGGAGTATATTATGGTGTTTCAGAAAAAGTGAACTTAAATCTCTGAGAGCTAATAGGCATAAGATTCTTAATGGCCTACCACAGTGAGTACGACTTTGAGAGTTTGGGAGATGAGAGTTCTTGTTGGTTTTATCTAGGTTGTTGTGAAGGGCTTATTACGCCTTTGTTCTTGTAATGTGCATACATAAAATAGCACATAATATTTTTTGTTTAGCATTCTTTTGTCTTATAAGCCTAATCAGAGCGACTTATGTGAATTGTGGCTGCTATTTCTGCTTAGGCTTTTGTGAAGGTGGTTGTGCTGCTATTGTGGATTCTGGCACATCTCTGCTTGCTGGTCCAACTGTAAGTGGAACCTTTTCCATTTATGCATTATTCTGGGAAAAACAGAATGTTTAGTATCCACCTTGTTTCTAGCCATTATGAATTCTAATACTAAATGACATTGCACTTTAGACCATAGTGACAGAAATCAACCATGCCATTGGGGCAGAGGGAGTAGTGAGCACAGAATGCAAAGAGATTGTTTCTCAGTACGGAGAAATGATATGGGATCTGCTAGTCTCTGGGGTTTGATTCCTTTGCACTTGTTTCTTATTACTTGTTTAACATGCTGGGATTTTTTTGGGGTTTTAATAATAATAGTGGATGGCCTGCAGGTGAAACCCAGTGAAGTATGTTCACAAGCCGGATTATGTTTATTTAGCAGAGCTGCAAGGTTAGGCTCTCTTTTTCCATCAGTATTACTGAACTGCTTTATCTTGGAGAGTCCTAAATCAAGTGTGATCATTGTGATACACTAAATTCAAGTGTCAGGACATAAAGAATCTCTTTACTTACCTTCTTTATATGCTAGGCTCTACTCAACTATGCTAGGCTAGTGTTTAAGAATCTTGTAGGTTTTGTAGTTGTCAGAGTCCATCATTGGACAAGCAAAGCGAAAGATAATTGGTTGGACTGGCTAATTGGTTGGAATTTGGAATCAATGTTTTATTGTGACTTAGCACAATGCCTTATAGCAAGTTGAGTGACCTCAACTTAATCTTGAATTCTATCGGGCAGCTAGTTCTGGCCCACTTTTTCCTGGCTGCCCGCCTTGAAATCCGCACCAGCTGCCTTGAAACTCACCCATTGAGTTTCGATCCCGTAAGGGAGAGTGAGTCGGTGACTAGCTGGGCTGGACCGCTTCCTCAATTAACACGATTCTCTATTTGGACTGCTTTACGTGGTTTTCTGTCTGGACTTCCAGCCCACCGGCCCGCTAGGACTTCACTTCTATTTGGAAGTGTAGTCCAGGTGAGTGTTGCTCATTTAACTTGGTTGTTCATCTAGCTGTGGTCCTTTAAGTGTTGCCATAGCATTTTGGGTTTCAGTGGGAGATGTAGTCCAATTTAAAAGTTACCAATGTGTTAGATCAAAAGGAACTTGGGTTACTAGCTAATAGATTGGGAGATAGAGTCCAATTTCTTAATGCAGTTTAACCCAAGTTTTTTTGACCCAGTTGAGCGAGCCCAACTAAATTTTGGATTCTGTTAATAGACGATTCTATATTGCGTTCTTCACAGATCATGTTATCTTCTGAAAAGCTGTTTTTTTTTACATGAAATAGTAAGCCGAATACACATTCATATCAGCATTATTGATCCATAAAGTTTCTTCCTTGCAGTTCTAATATCCAAATGGTAGTTGAAAAGGAAAGTGAGGAAAAATCCTCCAACGACCCGTTGTGCACAGCCTGTGAGATGGCTGTAGTTTGGATGCAGAACCAGCTAAAGGAAAAGGTGGTGAAGGAGAAAGTGTTTGAATATGTGAATCAGGTGAACATTTCTTAATTTACCTGCTCTAGCAGTGTTCTAGGCGCGAGACAGTGGGGAAATGCATTACATGGTGGCTAGGTGCCCAGGTGGAAAAATGCCATAAGTACCTTCCTAGTTTGACTTTTGAGGTCAAAGTTTGATAGCTTTGTCCTTCAATTGTTCAAAAGTTATTATTTTTAACATGAAAATACTTATGAATAATTTGTTTTTAAAATATATTATTGAAATATTAACTTGTTATGAATTTTATAGATTTATAAATTCAAATAATCATGCTCAAACTTCAACTAAGTTTGACCTTGAAATTCAAACTGGGAAGTTAATCTTGGGAAAGGAGTATAGGTTTGGATAAAAGTAAATAATATGTTTAAATTTGCGCATTATTTTTATCTATCAGTTTTATATATAAAAATACAAACTCATTTTCATGCTGCTTTGCCTAGACTCACCTAAGCTTCCAAGGCTTGGCCTCACTGCCATGCCTCGCCTTACACACAACACATTGCAAATTTACAATTTTTGGGTAAAACTAAGTTTTCATGTCTGGCAGCTTTGTGAGAAAATACCTAGTCCAATGGGGGAATCAACAATTGATTGTAACAGCGTATCAAGCATGCCAAATGTTACATTTAAAATTGCAGACAAAGACTTTGTCCTCACCCCTGAGCAGGTAATCTTTTTCTCCTGATTTATGCATTTTTATGGCCACACAACTGATCAAGCATACAAGAAAGCGTACTTCAGGAATATGGTAGAGATCTTGCATTGGTCATCAGGTTTATGGGCCCCATTACTTTGTAATTGAATATAGTCATGGTTCTTTGGATTTATCACTGGGAATTTTCTTGAGATGACTCTTGAGACAACTCAATTAGGAAATTTTCTTGACATATCTTGAAGTATGTATTAAACAAATGATAGTTTATGCTGAAAAAAAGGAGCAAGGTAAAGAATGTGTTTTGCAAGGATGTGAGAAGGAGATTTGTGCCGAACACTAGGTTTAGAGGCGAAGTTTGCTGATACTCTGATAGAGTTCATGATCGGGTTACTCTACTTGGGCATAAGTTGCTTGGGTCAAACCATATTCAAAGATTGATCCCGACATGTTAATTTGTTCAATACGAGATCTTGTTAACCCATCATTTGCCTCACCCCTCCTTTCCAACATGCAGTCGTTGTAAATGTTTCCTGAACCCCATCCTAATCAACTCATTGATCACTTAACTCCCCAACACAATTGATTCGAATTATAAATGATTATTTAAATACAACTACTCTTGACCGTCATATAATATGTTAACCTCCTTTCCTCATCTGCCTTCAGTATATTCTTAAAACTGGAGAAGGGGTGGCTACCATTTGTGTCAGTGGATTTCTTGCATTGGATGTGCCACCACCCCGTGGTCCTCTGTGGTAAGTCATACTAAAACACCATTTACACAGAGCTGTCTCCACACATAGATTCGCTATGTGCTTTGTCTCTTCGCATATTAAAAGATTTGTGTATGGCGTTGCAGGATTCTTGGTGATGTATTCATGGGAGTGTATCACACGGTCTTCGACTATGGCAATCTGCAGCTAGGTTTTGCAGAAGCTGCATGATTCCTTCTCTGTATTTATCCCAAAATTGGTATATAAGGCTTTTTATGTGTACAACGACTAGCATGAAAACTGGGGAACTTGAAACACTTTTATTTGTACTGCTACTTGAAGGTAATTGCTCAAGTATTGTGCTGTAATTCTGTAAACTGCTTCCTCTTTTGGAGTGGGCATTATTTATGGTTTTTATTTGGCAGGATACTTACCTTGGACAATTTACGACCTTTCCTTGTTTCCTTGTTACTACTAAATTCAGTGACTGATCTTGCGATCAAACCTTGGTTCAAAATTAAATTATAATTAAAATGTTAAACCTTTTATTAAAGAAGGAATTTTTTCTTATAGAGAATAGAAAAAAAGCACAACGCACAATGCAAAAAAAAAAAAAATGTTAAACAATGATATTATTTGATCCAACAATTGAAAACATGTAATTTTTTCAGTAACAAAAAACTAGTAAATAAGATTGAATGTAGGAAATATTATCTAAAAATACGGAGTATCCTATAAATTCTTACATAAATTATATATATATGTATATTTATGTTTTGATTTTAAATTTTTGGGTGTTCATGTGAACTCTTTCGAACAAAGGCATGCACGGATTCACTCTGCAACTAGGGTGGTTTCGGTCTGGAAATGGGGGAAAACTAGAAAAAAAAGAACGGGACTAGGACCAAACCGGGCAGAATCGTGACAGAACTGCCCTGATACCCCATACCCGGTTCAGACTTGAATTTAACCGGGTCAGACCATGCTTCTACAAATGATCAGGACTGGCTGGTCTAGTACTTGGACTAGCCGGTTCGGGATCGGGACCAGAACTGGGACCTGCCAATCCAGGATAGGGACCTGGACTGGATCCACCCCCTACCTGCAAGTGTGCAACTAATGAAGGTGTTGGATTCAAATGTTTTCAAGAAAGATACAAGGATTGACAGAGGTGGGAATTGAGAACTGGGTTTTGGTGCGTTACATACTTGCATGCGTTGGTAACTTGCATGCGTTTCTATTCTGATAAAATGGGTATATGGTTATGGGGTCAAAATAGGGATATGACATTAAGAACCCCTTAATGTTTAGATAATGATCATTAGATTATTTGGTGTTCATTTTGTTGATGCGTAAAATCTTTTTAAAGATTATGTTTGAGGAGATAAATTATTTTGAAAGATTACTTAGATTAAAATCATGGTATCAATTATCAAATACTCTCTCCGTATTCAAAAGATCACTACATTACGTCTTGACACAATACTTATGGGGGAAAAATAATTAAAATACTCCAAATTTTGGAGGGTGTGAGATAAACACCCCAAACTTTCATATTTAATTTAAATACCCTAAACTTGATATAAAAAGTTATTTGTTCATGTATTATTTCTTTCAAAAATGTAAATTTATAATGTTAATTGCACACTTTAAAATAGTTAATTGAAAACGTTGCGCTTAGATAGAGTGGGGGGGGGGGGGGGGGGGTATTACTCTTTATTTTACAATGGAAGTTTAGAATGTTAATTGTACCTTAATGAATGCTAACATATTTTGAATTATGAAATGAACACCAAAAATTAACATTTTTTAAAGAAAAATACATGACCATGCTGCTAAAATAACATTTTATATAAAGTTTGACGTATTTTAATTACATATGCATGTTTGAGGTGCTTACCTCACACCCCTTCAAAGTTTCGGGTATTTTAATTATTTTTCCCTATTTAAGCAGGGAATAATAGGAGTAATGAGTAGTGTAGAAAAAGTCGGATAGAAGGTGAAAAAGTAGGAGAGAGAAGATAAAAAGTATGAAAAGTAAGGATAATTGGTTATTTTTAAAAGAATAATTTACCAAAAAAATGCAACAAACTTTTAAATACGTCCCAATTAGAAAAGTGTAGCAAACTTTTAAATATGAATAGAGTATTGAATCCTATATTATTTAAGATTGTTGAAATTTATTCCTTCAACCCGTAGGCCCAACATGCAACCTAAGGGTTTCGAGTGGAAGAGTGAGTGTGAATATTGGGTATTAGCAAGTAAATGGGCTTTAGAAGTATCTGCAATAGTGGGCCGAGTATATTAAATGATAATAAGGACTCATTACACTGCACTAATGCTATATGACCAACGGCCGTTCGTCTGCTTCACAAGTAGAAGAACTGCGACCACTGCTTAAGAGCTGTAAGAATGCTAGAATGCTAATGTGGGTAAGTTGCCAACTCTTTACAATGAAATAAATGCTACTATTTATACTACCAAGGGGCACTTAGATGTGCTGATGTGGAGAGCTGTGGATGGCTGGGGTCTCAACCACCAAATCTCTAGCATTAAATGCGCTTCTCTTCAGAATCTTGATTTCCCGCCCAACATGTGGAGACGAGTGTCCCCGTGAGTCTAGGACTTGTTCTTGATGATGTCGCCAAGGGCGGGAGGCCGTGCGTCTTCCGGCTGTTGGTATAGGAGCACACTGGCTAACCTTGGGCTAGGACTCCTTGAGCTGAGGGCCTGGGGTGGAGACGTTCGTCTTAGTTGCCTTGTGCCCTGATGAATAAATGTCAGTGGTTCATTCGAGACGTGCGTCTAGACCTTCTCCCCTGTTGGGCCAAGACGTTCGTCAATGTAGGGGATAATGAGCCGATTCCAGTATCGGGCCATTAACCCAACAAATATTATTCTCAAGTTTTAATAAACACATTTAATGCAATCATGTATTTTAATTTGGAATGATTGAATTACCTCCTTGAAAATAACAAAACAATTCCATAAAAAACAAAATAAATAGAAACATGATTGAGAAAGAATTAATAAGCTTTGATTTTATTTATGTGACAATGACATGCCAAAAGAAAAACATAAAAAATCGAATATTTGAGAAGCATGGTTACAGATGCTCTAAGGATATTTGTAGCAAAGAGTCAAATAGGCCAAAATATGAACATAACATCATTTTTATATTAGTATATCTGTATATATTATGGAATACTTCCTTAATTATGATAAACTAGTCAAAGTTTTTTTCACTCACGAACCGTATGTCGATGCTTTTACAAGAAATCGACTTTTTTTATAGTACATTTTTTTAAAAAACTAAATCATAGCAAATTTTTACAAAATATGAAAAGAAATTATTAAACTGAGTTTCTTTTGTAATTTTTGGTAATTTGGGGGAAATAGAGAAGTACAATAATAGGAGATTAAAAAATTTTAAAATCATACTCTTTATCTCTCAAAACGTATGTGCATTTACATCTACCAATAGTTGTAAGAAAATAAAGGAACGAAATTTGTTATGTTATAATTGTAGTAAAACGTGAAGATAAACAAAAGGATAAATTAAGTGTCGCCATCGTCGCAGCCAGTTCAAGGCCATCATCGCCGATGCTGCCAACCAAGGCAACAAATGTCGTCGTCTAGGTGCACCACTGTCATCTAAGTTCTTCGTCTTCATAGTACTCTTCTTCTCATGTCTTCTTCTCGTTAATTGATCGTTGACTCTTTGTGACGGTGAGGGTCGAGGTTATTGAAAAACTTCGGCTTCAAATTCAATCGGGAAAGCAGTTAAATAAATTATTGAAAAACACAGCGTTTAGTGTCACACATCTTGTTTTTCTTTCCTGTAGTTTTTAAGAGTGAGATTCATATTGGGGGTGTTTCGCAAATAGCCGTTGGCTGTTAGCTGTTGGTTGATTATATTGTGTTAGCTGATTGATGATAGCGAATTATGTTAACTGTTTTAATTAGCTGATACAGTTAGCAGTTTGTAAAATGATGTTTGGTTAAATGATTGTTTTACATGAACATGTGAAATGACTTTTATAGACATCAATTAATTTTTTACTAATATAATTAAGGAAAAATTGAAAATAATAATCCCAACTATTTCCGGTCCGCTGAAAATAATCCCAACTATTGATTATTTTTGTATAATCCCAACTATATAGACTATCCGCCAATAATGGTCCATGACCATAAATTACCTCTATAAAAAGTGAATTTTAAATAGAAATTAAGCGTAAAAATTAAAAGTTGAGATTATTTATAAGGATTATTTGTTATTTCTCACCCCATCCACTTTAGAAACTACAAGAATTTATTCATCGGGACCATTATTGGCGGAAGGTCCCTGTTGGGATATATTATCCCGGCCTATTACTGTTCAGGAGCCCAAGACATTATCCAGTACGGAGCCCGAGCAACTAGGTCCATTTCGGCCCATTCTGGCCCACTTTGGCCATTAGGCCCGACATCGGCCCGTTTGGCCCATTAGGGTGGAGAGCACCCTTTCCCCTTTTGTCTATAAATAGGGAGCTTAGCCTCCATGTAAAGGATCCCTTTTCTTCTTCCTCCTTCTCACTAGAATAGCTTAGAACCCCATTAATGGGAGCTTCAATACTTGTACTATGTAATGGTGAAGAGAGACTAATGAAAATGAGAGGGCTTGGACATTAGCCTAAAAAGTCCCGTGGTTTTCTCCCTTTTGGGTTTCCTGTTTCCACGTAAAAACTGAGTGTTCATACATATATTTAGTATATCGTGTTGGATTAACTCAACACTGGCGCCGTCTGTGGGAATCTGTCCAAAAAGATTCATGTGTTCTACACAAATTTCATACGAAAAAACTATTGATTTCAGCAAAAAAGAAGAAGGATTCTGGGTTTTTGGATCTGGGAGAAATCCGGATATAAGACAGGGGTGTCCGGCAGCACCAGTCATGGCAGTCCAACTAACCAGGTTCTCCGTCGGAAGAGACTGTTCGAGTTCGCCGCCGTGGCTACGCCGGACCTCGCTGCCACTGCTACTGCGGACCTCGCTGCAACCAGAGCACTAGAGGCGCCTAATCTGGCGGACCTCACGAGCCTAGCTCCTGAGCCCATCTACAAGAAAAGCAAGCGTCGAGGAGCTCCAGTCCTAGAACCTGCCAGATCTCGGAGGGGGGTGTTACCGCCGGCGTGCGACGGCTGAAGCTTCACCCCGCCAACCGGTGAACCATGTCCTCACCTCCGTCCCAGCTCGACCTCCAGCCAGGTGCCTGTACCTCCGTCATCTGGCCTTGGGTGGGTGAGCCGGTGCTTCAGCTGGCTTCTCGGATGATACGGAGTACTGATAGTGCTTGAAGGCCTTGGTCCTCAGGAGGCCACGTGAAAGGAAGTGAATGGTGGCTGAGGGATAAGCTTTGGAGCATTTTGACCAAGTCAAATGGGGGAATACCACCATGCCGAGATCCTCTTGGCTTGGACGTACGTAAACTTTGGGATTTGAAAGTGGCTAAATAATTGGAGTCTTGGCTCTTGGGCATATCGTGGAGAGTTTTGACCGAGTCAAACAAAGGGGAAGCAAAATAATTTCAGAAATTTCTAGCAGCCGAACCCCATCCAAAGCTAAGTTTCTAACTTCTTCACCTTTTCATTAAAGCATGCGTCGTGATTATTAAAGAAGTAGAAATATTGCTACTAATTTTTATCACTATTATTTATTAGAGATTAAAACACCCGAAATTAAATAATGAGAGCGATGCTCTAAGTGATAATTAGTTTTACTATCATTTAAATTAAATGACTGCATGTCGTGGGCCCATCGGCCCGCTCCTGATCGGCTTTAATTAGCGGGCGGAGCATACCGGAATGGCCTTTGATAGGGTAACATCATTGCTATTGCCTATGATATCCCTATTATTTATTAGGGATAAAATGTCCGGAATTAAATAATGTGGAGCGAAGTTCATGTGATGATTGGTTCATCCAACATTTTATTGAATATTTAATATCTTGAGGGCCCGATGGCCCACTCTCGATCAGCTTGACTAAGCGATCCGAGCGTCTGCAGGGGGCAGTGCCCCGACGACACATTTCTATTTGGGGATTACGCGTTAGTCCGCGCGGCACCAAGTGCCCGATCGACGATCGTATCCTAGTATCATCTGTGCCACTAGGCGCAAAGTGACTATTGCCAAACGCGGCCTGTGGGGCCCGAGGGCACCCAAGCACTCAACCTCGTTTGCCGAGGACAATGCGTCCAACTTGGGTCTGAGTTTTCAAACTCACAGACCAGTGATTATCTCTATGTGACGTTCGGCGAGCTGCCAATCGGCCCCGCCGCGAGCCGCTACGTCCATTAACCCCGCACGATGAGCCGGGCCGAGGGTCACGACGACCCATAGGCCGGTAATCGTGGATGTTAAAGAGGAAGCCATGCAGATGGTTATGTGTGCATATTTATTGTCGGCCCGTTACCATGCTTATTGCGCAGCTGAACCCGCTCGACGCGCCCGAGCGAAATGATTAAAAGACGCTCGGCCTAAGTCTCAAAGACGTTCAGGGCCAGCTAAAGTGGAGACCATCACGGCTGAAGCCGATGGACGAGCATCTCCACCCAGAGGTCGATGACCTAGAGGAGACCACCACAGTCGAGAACCGTGGGACGAGCATCTCCACCCCAGAGACCGATGGCCTAGGAAGAACACCTAGAGGCCGAGGGTCTAGAGGCGAATGCCATGACAGAGAACCGTGAGACGATCATCCATCATTCAGAGGCCGAAGGCCTAGAGGAGACCGTCACGGCCGAGGGCCATCATATCACGACCGGCCTCTCGGCACGGCGTGATTATCATATTTGAAGACCGGCCTCGTCCCCGCGCTGCGCGGATGAGGACCGTTGCTTGATTTTAGGTCGGCCTCTCTTTGCCGACATCATTATATCACGACCGGCCTCTCGGCACGGCGTGACTATCTTATTTGAAGACCGGCCTCGTCCCCGCATTGCGCGGGTGAGGACCGTTGCTTGGATTTCAGGTCGGCCTCTCATTGCTGACATCATTATATCACGACCGGCCTCTCGGCACGGCGTGCTTATCTTTGGAAGACCGGCCTCGTCCCCGCTCCTCGCGGATGAGGGCCATTGCTTGATTCTTTCAGGTCGGCCTCTGACTGCCGACACTATCATGTTATGTTCGGCCTCTCGGCACGACATATTTATCTTTTGAAGACCGGTTTCATCCCCGCGCTGCGTGGATGAGAGCCGTTGCTCGGATATATCGGCCTGATCTCGACACCATTGTCATCTCCTTATCAGGATCGACTGCTCAGCGACATTATGATCATTGTTTGTCGGCTCCCAATGCCGACCCTCTTGAGTTTGCGATCGGGCTCACGACTCCCCTCCAGGAGGGTGACCATCGCCTTCGCATGACGACCAGCTATTCTATCGCCTCGTCATTATATTCGTTCGCTATGCCACCACCATTATGTGTGACATCCCGTGATCCCTGCGAGTTTCTTGGATACCGAATGTCTTCTTCGATGTAGGAAGATCGGTAGGACCACGGACCAGGGACGGACAAAGAAGAGCTAGGGAATCTCGATGTAGATAAACCTGTTCCTCCTTGCGAGTTTCGCGGATACCGAACGTCTCTTCGAAGCAAGAGCGCCGGTAGGACCAAGAACCAAGGACGAACGAAGAATATAGATTGCCTCCCTCAAACAAAAAAAAGATGGGGAGAAGAGGAGGTGAGCTCCTATGTGGAAGGGAATCTTGCCTGGGTGTGCCAGATCTCCTCCCACCGCCGAAGACGAACGCCTCTCGATGTAGAGGTTAGTAGAGACGCGGAGGGGGCTAGACGAACCAAGGGAGCCTTGCCAAGATAAACCTGTTCATCCCACGATGACCATGGATCGATGGGCGTGGGATAACAAAGCCGGGAACCCGTGAGGGTAAACCAGTTCGTCCCTGCGAGTTCCTTGGATACCGAACGTCCTCTTCGAAGCAAGAGACGCCGGTAGGACTAAAAGGACCACGGACGAACGAAAAAGGGGGAATCTCGATGCAGATAAACCTGTTCCTCCTTGCGAGTTTCGAGGATACCGGACGTCTCTTCGAAGTAAGGACGCCGGTAGGACCAAGAACCAAGGACGAACGAAGACTAAAAGACTCAAAAAAAAAAGATGCCAGAAGAGCACGGAGCAAAGAATGATTTTATCCCTCGGCGCTATTGGCCTGGAAGTACAAACTGAAAAACATGTGTAAAGAATAATTACAAAACTTAAGTACGAAGAATGAAGTGGCCGACGACGATCGGCTAACATCAGGCTTTCTTTTGCCTTGGACGACGAATACCAGCTCCCCAGATCAGACGGAGGGACATCGCCCAGATTTATTTCAGGCTCACCATTCCTTCCTGGATGGAGTCCTGGCAGACGATCGGCTTCTCACAGCCAATCAGGATAGAGACTTGACACATCACCAGCACGGCCGAGGGCCGCGAGACGATTACCACTAACGATTTATCACTATTTTTATGCATCACGATCGGCCCCTCAGCGCCATCGTGTCCAGATTCACGGTTCGGCTCGCCCATTCCCTCCAGGATGGCGACGACCGTCTTATGCAGCACGATCGGCTTCTCAGCGCCATCGTGTCTCTTTCACGTTCGGATCGCCCCATTCCCTCCAGGATGGCGACGAACGTCTTATGCAGTGCGATCGTCCCCTCAGCGCCATCGTACCTGGCTTCACCGTTCGGATTGCCCCATTCCATCCAGGATGGCGACGAACGTCTTATGCAGCACGATCGGCTTCTCAGCGCCATCGTGTCTCTTTCACGTTCGGATCGCCCCATTCCCTCCAGGATGGCAACGAACGTCTTATGCAGTGCGATCGGCCCCTCAGCGCCATCGTACCTGGCTTCACGGTTCGGCTCGACCATTCCCTCCAGGATGGCGACGACCGTCTTATGTAGCACGATCGGCTTCTCAGCGCCATCGTGTCTCTTTCACGTTCGGATCGCCCCATTCCCATCAGGATGGCGACGACCGTCTTATGTAGCACGATCGGCTTCTCAGCGCCATCGTGTCTCTTTCATGTTCGGATCGCCCCATTCCCTCCAGGATGGCGACGAACGTCTTATGCAGTGCGATCGGCCCCTCAGCGCCATCGTACCTGGCTTCACGGTTCGGCTCGCCCATTCCCTCCAGGATGGCAACGACCGTCTTATGTAGCACGATCGGCTTCTCAGCGCCATCGTGTCTCTTTCACGTTCGGATCGCCCCATTCCCTCCAGGATGGCAACGAACGTCTTATGCAGTGCGATCGGCCCCTCAGCGCCATCGTACCTGGCTTCATGGTTCGGCTCGCCCATTCCCTCCAGGATGGCGACGACCGTCTTATGTAGCACGATCGGCTTCTCAGCGCCATCGTGTCTCTTTCACGTTCGGATCGCCCCATTCCCTCCAGGATGGCGACGAACGTCTTATGCAGTGCGATTGGTCCCTCAGCGCCATTGTACCTGGCTTCACGGTTCGGCTCGCCCATTCCCTCCAGGATGGCGACGACCGTCTTATGTAGCACGATCGGCTTCTCAGCGCCATCGTGTCTCTTTCACGTTCGGATCGCCCCATTCCCTCCAGGATGGCGACAAACGTCCTATGCAGTGCGATCGGCCCCTCAGCGCCATCGTACCTGGCTTCACGGTTCGGCTCGCCCATCCCTTCCAGGATGGCGACGAACGTCTCTTATGCAGCACGATCAGCGCCCCAGCGCCATCGTGTCTGGCTCACGTTAGGGTCGCCCATCCCTTTCAGGACGGCGACGAACGTCTCTTATGCAGCACGATCAGCACTTCAGCGCCATCGTGTCTAGCTCACGTTAGGGTCGCCCATCCCTTTCAGGATGGCGACGAACGTCTCTTATGCAGCACGATCAGCGCCCTAGTGCCATCGTGTCTGGCTCACGTTAGGGTTGCCCATCCCTTCTAGGATGGCGACGAACGTCTCTTATGCAGCACGATCAGCGCCCCAGCGCCATCGTGTCTGGCTCACATTAGGGTCGCCCATCCCTTCCAGGATGGCGACGAACGTCTCTTATGCAGCACGATCAGCGCCCCAGCGCCATCGTGTCTGGCTCACGTTAGGGTTGCCCATCCCTTCCAGGATGGCGACGAACGTCTCTTATGCAGCACGATCAGCGCCCCAGCGCCATCGTGTCTGGCTCACGTTAGGGTCGCCCATCCCTTCCAGGATGGCGACAAACGTCTCTTATGCAGCACGATCAGCGCCCCAGCGCCATCGTGTCTGGCTCACGTTAGGGTCGCCCATCCCTTCCAGGATGGCGACGAACGTCTCTTATGCAGCACGATCAGCGCCCCAGCGCCATCGTGTCTGGCTCACGTTAGGGTCGCCCATCCCTTTCAGGATGGCGACGAACGTCTCTTATGTAGCACAATTGGCCCCTCGGCGGCATCATGTCTAGTCCTTCTTCGGCTCCGCCCATGCCATCCCGGATGGGGGACCCTTCTTGTGCAGCACGTCTGCCTCTCGGCGCTGACATGCTCGAGTTCTCGTTGAGAGCTACCGCTCCTATCACATCTTGCATTCCCTCTCTCATACATTGCACCCATACATTACATGCATTCATGCATTCATGCATCATACCTCATACATTCATACAGACACACGTGCATCATGTTTTGACAGTACCGCGACGTCGGTTTATAGATGCATGGAGCTCTAAGCTTCTCCGATTGGAAAGCTCGAGTCAGAGTGCTTTACTTCCGCCTGATGCATTCAGGCGGAGTGTGCCCGTGGAGGAGCACCCTTCGCCCGACCCTGTCGGGAAGGGGGGTGCCTCACTGGTGGATTACGTTCAGGAGTGCAGACACTCACTCATATATTATGATTATGTGAAGACACAGTTTCCAGCAAGACATAGGAAGAGCGCAGGCAGAGTATATTTTCTCGAGCAGATTCGCACGCTCACTACTCAAGAAACTGGGGGACTTGTGTTGGGATATATTATCCCGGCCTATTACTGTTCAGGAGCCCAAGACATTATCCAGTACGGAGCCCGAGCAACTAGGTCCATTTCGGCCCATTCTGGCCATTAGGCCCGACATCGGCCCGTTTGGCCCATTAGGGTGGAGAGCACCCTTTCCCCTTTTGTCTATAAATAGGGAGCTTAGCCTCCATGTAAAGGATCCCTTTTCTTCTTCCTCCTTCTCACTAGAATAGCTTAGAACCCCATTCATGGGAGCTTCAATACTTGTACTATGTAATGGTGAGGAGAGACTAATGAAAATGAGATGGCTTGGACATTAGCCTAAAAAGTCCCGTGATTTTTTCCCTTTCGGGTTTCCACGTAAAAACTGAGTGTTCATACATATATTTAGTATATCGTGTTGGATTAACTCAACAGTCCCTAAAGTTGGGATTATTCTGTAATAATCAATAGTTGGGATTATTATGAGCGGACCGCCAATAGTTGAGATTATTACTATCAATTTTTCCTATAATTAATCGAACTACTTAAAACGTTTTTATACTTTAGAAATGTAGTAACACAAGTTATAATTACTTTTCTTTCACGAATTAATAATTTTTCAGATTACGGTCCTCAAGTTGAATAGTCCTAGTGCACTTCCATCCTCCATTAATGGGGAATTCTAAAAGTCCCAAATGCCCAAATAGAAACTACTTATATATCGTACAAGGATCAAACTATTGAGCTAAAAATAACACGGAGTATCTAGCACGACACAAAGCAGCTGCCATGGCTGAAAGCTATGCAAGAATCGGTATATAGAAAAAAAATGGTTATACAACACCCAGGGGCGGAGCCAAGGAGGGGTCAGGGTGGTCAGCCGACCAAAGTTCAAGAACGTAGAGCTCTGAAATACCTTCGATTTGATATATTGTGGGTCTCGTAACTCATTATGAGTAAAAAGTTATAACTTCTGAAAAAATCAGCACCATCTTACCATGAAATAAGCAAAATTTGATGTGCGACGTTGATTATATTCTTAAATTTAAAAATAAAACACTTTATTCAATCATTAGTTGTGTGAACATTATGATACGTTACATATATATCAATACATTAACTGAAAAATGTTTATTAAACTACCATTTATCTCAGCTACATATGAAACATTTAACTCGAGTATTATATAATAACTATCCCCCATTTTGATACTGTATGCTCCGTATAATTTTATAAATTCTGACCTCCCTCACACCTTTTTCTGGCTCCGCCCCTCGTCAACACCCACTATTGATTATAAAAACTTGTCAACTCAAACAAGGATTTGCACGAACCTTCTAGCATCGCTTTTATTAGCTTCTAACGTCGGTTAAAACTGATGTTACTTGCTTTGACGACGGTTCGTGAGACCATCGGCAAGAGCTCCGTGGGGAAGAATCTGGTGGCGGTTTTTTCAACCGTCGGAACAACCGACGCGAAAGTCCATGTCAGTTATAACCGACGCTGTTTGACTCGTTTTGAACAACCAAAGAAACATATATTTGCACATAGCGTCAATTATAACCGACGTTAAAAATGACATTAGAACCTAAAATCAGCCATCCACATTGATTACAAACGTATTTTGGTAATTCCTAAAATGGAAACCTTAAACTTTGGGTTTGGCTAATATTTGTCAAAAGAAATTCGAAATATAATGTAGCAATTAAATTATACGTAGTATTAAATATATTCACTTGGTTACAAGTTTACAACATAACTTTTTAAGGGTAAAAGAAGAAAAGCAACTTAGCAACATCACGATATAAACATTCAAATGCATATACTCAAAGCAGTGTTATACCAGCTACAAAATGCAAGTGAAACCCCTATACATAGTATCTACACCATAGCTGCTCAGGTATATTAGGCATGGACCGGTTCCGATCGGCCCGGCCCGACCCGCCACTGTGCGGGCCCGGACTGGCCTGGTGAACCGGCCTGGGAACCGGCCTGGGAACCGGGCCTAGGACCGGCCCGGTGTGTTAGAGTGGTCCGGTTCCGGGCCTACCCTCCCTTTGGAACTGGCCCGGCCGGGCCCGGTTCGGGCCTATTCAATTTTCTTTTCCCAAGTTGGGCTAGGTGTTTTTTTTAGGGGGGGGGTCGGGGGGTCGGGGGTTAATTAGAAAAAAAAAAGAACTGGCCTGAGACCGGACCGGACCGGACCCGGTTGCAAACCGGGCCGGTTCTGGGCTCGTCCCCAAAAACTAAAAGCCCGGTTTGGACCGGCCCGGAACCGGTCCATGCCTAAGGTATATGTAGGCTCTTTGAGGTACATGTTTCCTGAAAAATTAATCATTACAAAGTAAGTAATTGTTTGATGTTGATGCCTAAGCAAACTAAAAACAGAAATTGCCCTAAATAGGAGTAAAAACGTTTTGAAATTCCAAAATAGGAGTATCACGTTTTTTATTCCCTGAATAGAAGTAATCTGCCATGTTAGGGAAAAAATGCCATGTTAAAAGCCTTGTAATGCCAAACTTGGCAGAAATTTACACATATTTAGGGAATAAAAAACATGATACTCCTATTTTGGAATTTCAAAACGTTTTTACTCCTATTTAGGGAATTCTCTTAACTAAAAACAATTAACGCCACATTTCTTGCGGCAAACTAGAGGTTCACTCTAAATAGGCACTCATAGTAGCAAGGTGAATATTCTCCACATGCATAACTTTTAGTTATAAATATGCTTATAGTTTTTAAGTGTTTGCTTCACCAATCTAGTTGTTAGCTCATTTTTCAAGCAACAAAGAATGATACACTACATTTCCTTTTTCATTCACTATAAAAAAGGATTGGTGATTTATGTAAACTACTTATGTATGCTCACATGAGGAATTGTACTACACAATCAAAGTCAAATATGGTGAGAATTTCACCTCTTGCATGTAGTGGCATTCACAATTTTTCTTGGATGTATTTGAGGTCATAATAAATTTGAAAATTATCACGTTCTTGTTCTGCTCGCTTCTCGTCAAGCCACTTGTTAACCATCAACAATTTTATTTTTAGGGGTTGCACTTCTAAAGAAATGCTACTTTAAACTGTGACAGAAGCTCCTCTATTTCGGCAAGTTGATGGGCTGAACACTTTAGATTGTCAAACAACAAATGTCATGCATGTTGATTGGCTAAAATGTTTAACATACATATATATAACATGAGAAATTCATAAAAGTTAAAATGTTATTAAACGATAAATCCTATAACAAGTAAGGCAATGTTGACCTGAATATAGTGGTATTGCAAAAGTGAGAATGCAAGGTAAACAATGCCACTGCCATGTTCTTCTGCTTTAATTTGGATTATGTGTCATCTTGCACCCTTTCTGCTTTGGATTAGGTGTCATCTTGCACCCTTTAATAGCAGAGTCATTTAGATTTCTATAGTATAGTCTAGATTGAGGATCTAAAGTAGCTTCTCACAGTTCCGGAGGGAAATCATATTTTAAAGAACACCAAATAAAAGGAACAAACACCCTTTAAAAACTCATTAACTTCTTTATGAGTTCACTAAAGATAAAGCCAATTAAAGCTCAAGTGTATAAATAAACAACCTGCACATTATTCACTCATAATAACTTTCCACAGTGAGAATTACTATACGATTCATTCCCCAAATGGTTTTAAGAAACTCTGGTAATGATCTATCAAAGAAAATCTAAACGCTGCCATGACATGTAAACATAATGAGATTTATGATTACTCTACTCCAATCTTTTATATATTTTTTGTTAGGTCCCTGTTTTCTATTCTAGAATATATGTGTATGGAAGATAGATCTGTGATTTGAAGCTTTCCATTGATGTGAAGGTTTTACAGAATGATATGAATGTTTTAGCGTAAAAACCTTACACGCAAATAGGCACTGCGGCACAGAGAATGTATCGAAAAGCTTAACCTAGCCTTTCCCTTAAGGCATATATATAGCCTGACGGGAAAGGTAGGTTTTACAATCATTTGGGCTCCTTTTTCTAGGAGGCCCATACCTAAAAAGGCATGTAAGCCTTTATTACAATTTGCCTTAAAAGACCTATTCATTATTCTAGCTAGTCTATTTATTTATATAAGCTAAATACTAAGAGCTAAGAAACATTGATCACAATATAATGAAAATATCTCTAACAATCTCCCCCTTTGTGATCAGATGTTCTTGCTTCTTCTATTCTTCACTTCTGAGCTTTAAAATAATGCTTTCTGAGATTGAGTGCATGCTCGTAGTTTCTGAGTGACCTTCTTCTGTCAAGTTGTTTCTCGATGGCTTTCAACACTTTGTCAATTCTGGTTGCCTCTGTTAGTTCATCGTCTGTGGCATCTGCATACTTCTGTTGTTTTTCTTCAAATTCTTTTCTGATAGGTTGCAGTTTTTCTTCAATGATCTTCAGCGTTCCATCACAGTACTTGTTGATTTCTTCTGCCACCAACAAACGCCTCTCACCTTTGTGGTTCAGATAGATGATAGCTAACGGGCGATCGAAGATGTAATAGGCTGGATAGTTCTCAAGTTCTGGCCCGTAAAGCTTTGGTCTTGAGAGGTTTGTCTTTGGCAGATTGGTTTCTAGGGCCATCTGAAGATCATGGGAAGCAAAGAATTTGGCTTGTCTGATCATGAAGCGCTTGAGTGCCTTGAATCCCTCTTGTGTAGATTTGTCCCAGGTGACTGGAATTTCCTGGAAGGCTAGATACATATGATAGATGTCATCCATCTTTAACATATAAAGGTCATTTTCCTTGCAGGTAAATTCAGTCCCGTCGGAGCGTTGCAGGCGGTAAACAGAGAGTGGGATGTCTTGATGTTTTATTTCGGCTACATTTAGTATACTCCATACTGGGTCTTTTGCTGTTTGTAGTTCATGTTGCCATACTTCTCTCTGTTTCCCCATGTAATGATGACTAAGCAGAAACAGTTGTCCGCCCTTGTTCTTTCCTCTCAGATGATTAAGTCCACGGATTTTCAATTCGTCCAATTCCTTGACTTTGTCATCCCTCCGCCATATACACTTTCTGATTTCCTCTTGGAAAGGAGCATTGATGTTAATATTCTCCCAAGGCTTTTCACTCCTCGGCATTCGAGCCGCTGTTTGTCTGATGATGGATTCCAGCTCCTTGGGAGGTTCCTGATAATTTTCTCCTTCCTTGAGTTCATCGTCATCAAGCAGTATCACATCAGCAGCACATCTAGCTAGGAGCTCTCTGAGATAGGCTCTTCGCTGTATTTCATCCACATTTGTCCATAGCCGAGACCACTTGTTATGAACAAGAATTTCTTCCAATTCGTCATGCATTCGATCATCGTGTTGGCTAGAGGGAA